AAAAAAAAAAAAAAAAAAAAAAAAAAAAAAAAACTGATCAAGAAGCCAGGGTCGTCCAGGGCCAGAGTTAGTAAAGTAGTGAAGTACTTAGTCGGGCCTGATCAAAGAAATGTCATGCAATTAGGAAAAAACTCCTTCAGGAGTGCATTGATATATTTATTTTTTGGTTTGTGTACAGCTTTAGACAATAGCATGTACGGCTTATCACAGTAGCACGTACAGCTTTAGACAATAGCATATAGTGCTCCAGACAATAGCACACCGTTTTAGACAATAGCATACCTGGTTTTCAGTAGCACCACATACGGGTTTAGAGAATAGCATGTAGAGCTTTAGAAAGTAGCAAATACGGCTTTAGACAATAGCTTACGACTTTAGACTGTACCGAATACGGTTTTGGACACTAGCATATAGGGCTTTAGACAATAGCATATACCGATTTAGACAATATAGCACACCACCTTCGACAATAGCGTAAACAACTTTATACAATAGCATACGGCTTTAGGCAGTAGAGCATACGGCTTTAGACAATGGCACGCAGGGCTTTCGACAATAGCACACAGATCTAGACAGTGGCACATACGGCTTTGGACAATCGCTTACGACTTTAGACAGTAGCAAAAAAATTCAGCTTTAGACAACAGCATATAGGGCTTTCGACAATAGCATACGGCTTTTCTTTAGACAATCGCATAGCGCTTCAGACAAATGCATACTTAGACAATAGCATATACTGCTTCAGACAAAATAGTAAATTACAGATACAGCTTTAGACCATGGCATACTGGATTAAACCGTCAGTACACCTGCGGTTGTTTCCCCGAACCGACGCGCTCCCTGTGCGCCAATATTTGCTGAAATGCCAGCGTGGCGTTTTTCTTTTTTTTTGTTTGGCTGGTGTCGGCAAGCATTTCAACGTGGTTGCCCCGAGCCCCAAAAAGCCCCGAAATTGTCAGTGGTGGCGACGAGTTTCTTTTCTGCAAGGCTGGGGCCCTGTACTGGTGGCATGAACCGCCAGTACACATACCGAAGCACAATGGCCGGCGGCACCAGCCAAAAAGCAAAAGAAATGCGCCACTGGCTGTTCCATAACATATGGCGTGCAGTGCGGCTGCCGCCAGGGCGGGGTGTGTGTACTGGTGGGTTTAAACAAATAGCATTACGGCTTTAGACAACGCCGTGCAGCTTCAGACAAATAGCATATACGGCTTTAGACAGCAGCATACATAGGGCTTCAGACAAAACCATACTTGGACAATAGCATATACTGCTTTAGACAAATCCAGATACAGCTTTAGACAATGGCATGCCGTTTTGGACAAAGAACAATATGGCTTTAGACCACGGTTACGATCCGGACATCCGGACCCAGTCCGGACTGTCCACGTCTGGATGTCCGGGCCGACGTCCGGTCTAGTAGGTCCGGAATTAAAATAAATTTAAGGGGAAATAAAACTTCGTTGTTCAAGGCCCACCCCCCAAAAAACTATTTTGGGATTTCTTAACTATTTTCTGGCCATTTCAGAAATCCAAAGACGGCCGGGCTCTGACTGATTCTGATTTAGAGAGAGAGAGAGAGAGAGACGTAGAAACAGACAGAAACAGAGAATGACAGACACAGAGAGAGAGAGAGAGAGGTGCACAGGCTGGATACTGCCCAGAGGCAGGTACGGCCTAATTCACCCCCTGTATGTAAACCTTCTTTTTTTTTTTTTTTT